TACATGAGTAAGCCCACAAGCTCTAACCCCTAGTAGCCCACATGAGTAAGCCCACAAGCTCTAACCCCTAGTAGCCTCTACATGAGTAAGCCCACAAGCTCTAACCCCTAGTAGCCTCTACATGAGTAAGCCCACAAGCTCTAACCCCTAGTGGCCTACATGAGTAAGCCCACAAGCTGTAACCCCTAGTAGCCTACATGAGTAAGCCCACAAGCTCTAACCCCTAGTAGCCTACATGAGTAGGCCCACAAGCTCTAACCCCTAGTAGCCTCTACATGAGTAAGCCCACAAGCTCTAACCCCTAGTAGCCTCTACATGAGTAAGCCCACAAGCTCTAACCCCTAGTAGCCTACACGAGTAAGCCCACAAGCTCTAACCCCTAGTAGCCTACATGAGTAAGCCCACAAGCTGTAACCCCTAGTAGCCTACATGAGTAAGCCCACAAGCTGTAACCCCTAGTAGCCTACATGAGTAAGCCCACAAGCTCTAACCCCTAGTAGCCTACACGAGTAAGCCCACAAGTTCTAACCCCTAGTAGCCTACATGAGTAAGCCCACCAGCTCTAACCCCTAGTAGCCTACATGAGTAAGCCCACAAGCTCTAACCCCTAGTAGCCTCTACACGAGTAAGCCCACAAGCTCTAACCCCTAGTAGCCTACATGAGTAAGCCCACAAGCTCTAACCCCTAGTAGCCTGCATGAGTAAGCCCACAAGCTCTAACCCCTAGTAGCCTCTACATGAGTAAGCCCACAAGCTCTATCCCCTAGTAGCCACAATAAGTAAGCCCACAAGCTCTAACCCCTAGCAGCCACAATGAGTAAGCCCACAAGCTCTAACCCCTAGTAGCCTACATGAGTAAGCCCACAAGTTCTAACCCCTAGTAGCCTACATGAGTAAGCCCACAAGCTCTAACCCCTAGTAGCCTACATGAGTAAGCCCACAAGCTCTAACCCCTAGTAGCCACAATGAGTAAGCCCACAAGCTCTAACCCCTAGTAGCCACAATGAGTAAGCCCACAAGCTCTAACCCCTAGTAGCCTCTACATAAGTAAGCCCACAAGCTCTAACCCCTAGTAGCCACAATGAGTAAGCCCACAAGCTTTAACCCCTAGTAGCCTACATGAGTAAGCCCACAAGCTCTAACCCCTAGTAGCCTACATGAGTAAGCCCACAAGCTCTAACCCCTAGTAGCCTACATGAGTAAGCCCACAAGCTGTAACCCCTAGTAGCCTACATGAGTAAGCCCACAAGCTGTAACCCCTAGTAGCCTACATGAGTAAGCCCACAAGCTCTAACCCCTAGTAGCCTCTACACGAGTAAGCCCACAAGCTCTAACCCCTAGTAGCCTACATGAGTAAGCCCACAAGCTCTAACCCCTAGTAGCCTACATGAGTAAGCCCACAAGCTCTAACCCCTAGTAGCCTCTACATGAGTAAGCCCACAAGCTCTATCCCCTAGTAGCCACAATAAGTAAGCCCACAAGCTCTAACCCCTAGCAGCCACAATGAGTAAGCCCACAAGCTCTAACCCCTAGTAGCCTACATGAGTAAGCCCACAAGTTCTAACCCCTAGTAGCCTACATGAGTAAGCCCACAAGCTCTAACCCCTAGTAGCCTACATGAGTAAGCCCACAAGCTCTAACCCCTAGTAGCCTACATGAGTAAGCCCACAAGCTCTAACCCCTAGTAGCCACAATGAGTAAGCCCACAAGCTCTAACCCCTAGTAGCCTACATGAGTAAGCCCACAAGTTCTAACCCCTAGTAGCCTACATGAGTAAGCCCACATGCTCTAATACCCTAGTAGCCTACATGAGTAAGCCCACAAGCTCTAACCCCTAGTAGCCTACATGAGTAAGCCCACAAGCTCTAACCCCTAGTAGCCTACATGAGTAAGCCCACAAGCTCTAACCCCTAGTAGCCTACATGAGTAAGCCCACAAGCTCTAACCCCTAGTAGCCTACATGAGTAAGCCCACAAGCTCTAACCCCTAGTAGCCTACATGAGTAAGCCCACAAGCTCTAACCCCTAGTAGCCTACATGAGTAAGCCCACAAGCTCTAACCCCTAGTAGCCTCTATGAGTAAGCCCACAAGCTCTAACCCCTAGTAGCCTACACGAGTAATCCCACAAGCTCTAACCCCTAGTAGCCTACATGAGTAAGCCCACAAGCTCTAACCCCCTTAGTAGCCACAATCAGTAAAAAACGTTGCCGGAGAGCTTCTGTGAAAAGGTTGGAAAGACCCAATGATCAAAACCACCACCCCCCCCGGGTCTGTGAAAAAAAACGAAATTGTCTAAACACGAAACCGGTCGCTGGTGCCAAAAAGTTTTGGGGGGGGGGGCGCTGCCCTAGTGGGTTCCAGAAGGCGGGGCCAGGCCGCGGCGGCGGGAGCATAAAAGCGTCCGAGAGCGGGGAGCTCGGGGCTGCCGGTCCTGGGAAGCCGTCTCGTCTAGCCGCGGTCTCCGCTCGGGATCGCTGCGCGGCCGCAGAGTTGGTGGCCGTCCCGGGAGGCTGGACGGCTAGGGAGGGGTGCGAGTGCGAACGTGTTGTGCCCGGTGTGAAGGTGGTGAACAAAGACGACGCTGCCGCCTGGAAACCCTTCGGCACCGAATAACTGACGCCGCCACGCGTGGACGGACGCGTGGACGAGCGCCACCACCGCCCTTGTCGCGGCCGCACAGCCACACGGCGTCACAGCCACACAGTCACACGGCGTCACAGCCACACGGCGTCACACAGTCACACAGCGTTACAGCCACACGGCGTCACAGCCACACGGCGTCACAGTCACACAGACACACAGCGTCACAGCCACACAGCGTCACAGCCACACAGCCACACAATGTCACAGCCACACAGCGTCACAGCCACACAGTCACACAGCCTCACAGCCACACAGCCACACAGCGTCACAGCCACACAGCGTCACAGCCACACAGCCACACAGCATCACAGCCACACAGCCACACAGCGTCACAGCCACACAGCGTCACAGCCACACAGTCACACAGCCACACAGACACACAGCGTCACAGCCACACAGCGTCACAGCCACACAGCCACACAGCGTCACAGCCACACAGCGTCACAGCCACACAGCGTCACAGTCACACAACCACACAGCCACACAATCACACAGCGTCACAATCACACAACCACACAGCCACACAGTCACACAGCGTCACAGCCACACAGCGTCACAATCACACAACCACACAGCCACACAGTCACACAGCATCACAGTCACACAGCGTCACAGCCACACAGCCACACAGACACACAGCGTAACAGCCACACAGCATCACAGCCACATAGACACACAGCGTCACAGCCACACAGACACACAGTCACACAGCGTCACAGCCACACAGACACACAGCGTCACAGCCACACAGCCACACAGACACACAGCGTCACAGCCACACAGCGTCACAGTCACACAGCATCACAGTCACAGCGTCACAGCCACACAGCCACACAGCGTCACGAGGGTGACGACGGTGATCACGTGACGCCGGTGATCACGTGACGCCGGTGATCACGTGACGCCGGTGATCACGTGACGCCGGTGATCACGTGACGCCGGTGATCACGTGACGCCGGTGATCACGTGACGCCGGTGATCACGTGACGCCGGTGATCACGTGACGCCGGTGATCACGTGACGCCGGTGATCACGTGACGCCGGTGATCACGTGACGCCGGTGATCACGTGACGCCGGTGATCACGTGACGCCGGTGATCACGTGACGCCGGTGATCACGTGACGCCGGTGATCACGTGACGCCGGTGATCACGTGACGCCGGTGATCACGTGACGCCGGTGATCACGTGACGCCGATCGCAGTGGCCATCTGGGGCAGCACCTCCGTCGTGACCACCACCACCACCACCACCATCGCTCACCATCTCTGTAGATGGTGATGACGATGATGATGATGACGATGACAAAGATGATGACGGTGATGATGATGACGATGATGACGGTGACAACGACAATGACGATGACAATCATGACAATGACAGAGACGATGATGACAATGATGACAATGATGACAATGATGATGACAATGATGATGACAATGATGATGACAATGATGACAATAACAGTGACGATGATGACAATGATGACGACAATGACAATGACGATGACAATGATGATGACAACGATGATGACAATCATGACAATGACAGTGACGATGAAGACGACGACGACGACGACGACGGCAACGACGGTGACGGCGACGCCACCTCTGTCGCTCACCGCCACCTGCGACGAGGTGGACGACGCGGTGGACGACGAGGTGGACGACGAGGTGGACGACGAGGTGGACGACGAGGTGGACGAGCCCGCGGCCGCGGCCTCCCGAGAGGCGTTGAGCGACACCACGGCCAGGACATCCGCCCTGGACGCCAGGCAGCGGTCGCCCTCAAAGTGCTTGCAGGGCAGGCAGATCATCTTGTCCTGGGTGACCTGCGGTGCAGTGTGTAGTAGTGTATAGTGTATAGTAGTGTAGTGTATAGTAGTGTATAGTGTAGTGTATAGTAGTGTATAGTGTAGTGTATAGTAGTGTAGTGTATAGTGTAGTGTATAGTAGTGTAGTGTATAGTAGTGTATAGTGTAGTGTATAGTGTAGTGTATAGTGTATAGTAGTGTAGTGTATAGTGTAGTGTGTAGTGTATAGTGTAGTGTATAGTGTAGTGTGTAGTAGTGTATAGTGTAGTGTATAGTGTAGTGTATAGTGTAGTGTATAGTGTAGTGTATAGTGTAGTGTGTAGTGTATAGTGTATAGTAGTGTAGTGTATAGAGTGGTGTATAGTGTAGTGTATAGTGTAGTGTATAGTAGTGTAGTGTATAGTAGTGTAGTGTATAGTAGTGTAGTGTATAGTGTAGTGTATAGTGTATAGTAGTGTATAGTGTAGTGTAGTGTATAGTGTAGTGTATAGTGTAGTGTGTAGTGTAGTGTATAGTGTATAGTAGTGTAGTGTATAGAGTGGTGTATAGTGTAGTGTATAGTGTAGTGTATAGTAGTGTAGTGTATAGTGTAGTGTATAGTGTATAGTAGTGTAGTGTATAGTGTAGTGTATAGTGTAGTGTATAGTGTATAGTAGTGTAGTGTATAGTGTAGTGTATAGTGTAGTGTAGTGTATAGTGTAGTGTATAGTGTAGTGTGTAGTAGTGTAGTAGTGTAGTGTATAGTAGAGTATTGTATAGTGTAGTGTGTAGTGTAGTGTGTAGTAGTGTAGTGTATAGTGTAGTGTGTAGTGTATAGTGTAGTGTATAGTGTGGTGTATAGTGCAGTGTATAGAAGTGTAGTGTATAGTGTAGTGTATAGTAGTGTATAGTAGTGTAGTGTATAGTGTAGTGTATAGTGTAGTGTGTAGTAGTGTAGTGTATAGTGTAGTGTATAGTGTAGTGTATAGTAGTGTAGTGTATAGTGTAGTGTGTAGTAGTGTAGTGTATAGTAGTGTGGTGTATGGTGTAGTGTATAGTGTAGTGTGTAGTGTAGTGTATAGTGTAGTGTATAGAGTGGTGTATAGTGTAGTGTATAGTAGTGTAGTGTATAGTGTAGTGTATAGCAGTGTAGTATATAGTGTGGTGTGTAGTGTAGTGTATAGTGTAGTGCATAGTGTAGTGTATAGTGTAGTGTCGTGTGTGTGTAGTGTAGTGTATAGTGTAGTGTATAGTAGTGTATAGTGTAGTGTATAGTGTATAGTGTAGTGTGTAGTGTATAGTATAGTGTAGTGTATAGTAGTGTATAGTGTAGTGTATAGTAGTGTATAGTGTAGTGTATAGTGTAGTGTATAGAAGTGTATAGTGTAGTGTCGTGTGTAGTGTAGTGTATAGTAGTGTATAGTGTAGTGTGTAGTGTAGTGTGTAGTGTATAGTGTAGTGTATAGTGTAGTGTATAGTGTAGTGTGTAGTGTAGTGTATAGTGTAGTGTATAGTAGTGTACAGTGTAGTGTCGTGTGTAGTGTAGTGTATAGTGTAATGTATAGTAGTGTATAGTATAGTGTAGTGTATAGTGTAGTGTATAGTGTAGTGTATAGTGTAGTGTGTAGTAGTGTAGTGTGTAGTAGTGTAGTGTATAGTAGTGTATTGTATAGTGTAGTGTGTAGTGTAGTGTGTAGTAGTGTAGTGTATAGTGTAGTGTGTAGTGTATAGTGTAGTGTATAGTGTGGTGTATAGTGCAGTGTATAGTAGTGTAGTGTATAGTGTAGTGTATAGTAGTGTAGTGTATAGTGTAGTGTATAGTGTAGTGTGTAGTAGTGTAGTGTATAGTAGTGTAGTGTATAGTGTAGTGTATAGTAGTGTAGTGTATAGTGTAGTGTATAGTGTAGTGTGTAGTAGTGTAGTGTATAGTAGTGTAGTGTATGGTGTAGTGTATAGTGTAGTGTAGTGTGTAGTGTATAGTGTAGTGTATAGAGTGGTGTATAGTGTAGTGTATAGTAGTGTAGTGTATAGTGTAGTGTATAGCAGTGTAGTATATAGTGTGGTGTGTAGTGTAGTGTATAGTGTAGTGCATAGTGTAGTGTAGTGTATAGTGTAGTGTCGTGTGTAGTGTAGTGTATAGTAGTGTATAGTGTAGTGTATAGTGTAGTGTACAGTGTAGTGTCATGTATAGTGTAGTGTATAGTGTAATGTATAGTGTCGTGTACAGTGTAGTGTCATGTGTAGTGTAGTGTATAGTGTAGTGTATAGTAGTGTATAGTTTAGTGTAGTGTATTGTAGTGTGTAGTGTATAGTGTAGTGTATAGTGTAGTGTATAGTAGTGTATAGTGTAGTGTATAGTGTAGTGTATAGTGTAGTGTCGTGTGTAGTGTAGTGTATAGTGTAGTGTATAGTAGTGTAGTGTATAGTGTAGTGTATAGTAGTGTACAGTGTAGTGTCGTGTGTAGTGTATAGTGTAGTGTATAGTAGTGTATAGTGTAGTGTATAGTGTAGTGTAGTGTATAGTAGTGTATAGCATAGTGTAGTGTATAGTAGTGTATAGTAGTGTATAGTGTAGTGTATAGTGTAGTGTATAGTAGTGTATAGTGTAGTGTCGTGTGTAGTGTAGTGTATAGTAGTGTATAGTGTAGTGTAGTGTGTAGTGTAGTGTGTAGTGTATAGTGTAGTGTATAGTGTAGTGTGTAGTGTATAGTGTAGTGTATAGTAGTGTACAGTGTAGTGTCGTGTGTAGTGTAGTGTATAGTGTAATGTATAGTAGTATATAGTGTAGTGTATAGTAGTGTATAGTGTATATACATAGTAGTGTATAGTGTAGTGTATAGTGTCGTGTATAGTGTAGTGTCGTGTATAGTAGTGTATAGTGTAGTGTGTAGTGTATAGTGTAGTGTATAGTGTAGTGTAGTGTGTAGTGTATAGTGTAGTGTATAGTGTAGTGTATAGTAGTGTATAGTGTAGTGTGTAGTGTATAGTGTAGTGTGTAGTGTATAGTGTAGTGTGTAGTGTAGTGTATAGTGTAGTGTATAGTGTAGTTTATAGTGTAGTGTATAGTAGTGTAGTGTGTAGTGTAGTGTATAGTAGTGTATAGTGTAGTGTCGTGTGAAGTGTAGTATATAGTGTAGTGTATAGTAGTGTAAAGTATAGTGTATAGTGTAGTGTATAGTGTAGTGTATAGTGTAGTGTATAGTGTAGTGTGTAGTGTAGTGTATAGTGTAGTGTATAGTAGTGCATAGTGTAGTGTATAGTGTAGTGTATAGTAGTGTATAGTGTAGTGTATAGTGTAGTGTATAGTGTAGAGTGGACGTCCGAGTGACGTCCGAGTGACGTCCACCCATACGTCCACCCACCCCCAACCCCACCCCCCGTCTCCCCACCTGCAGGGTTCCGCCAAACACAGCGATCATCATCATGACCATGGCCGTGTAGTCCATGAAGACATCCCACCAGGGCTTGAGCACACGGAAGCTCTGGTGGGTGTCAGCAAAGTAGCGCAGGTCGGTGACGGGGATCATGGCCCCTCACGCTCGGGTGGGTAGAGCCTGGGGTCAGAGGTACAGGGAGAGATGGAGGGAGAGACAGGGAGGGGGAGAGTCAGGTAGATTGAGCAGGTCATCAAATATTGGAGGAGGAAGAAGTCCCCCCCCGCCCTGTGAGTGGCTGGCTGAAGTGCCATCTGTTGAGGGAGTACTGAAGGCGATCCGGAGTCTGAGACCAGGAAAGGCACCGGGTAGAGATGATCTCCCAAGCGGAATGCTGAGGGAGGGTGGCGTATGTGCGCAGAATGCCCTACATGACATCATAACAACAGTCTGGAACACTGGACGGGTTCCGCAGGATTGGAAGGATGCCCTGGTGGTCCTCCTCTTTAAGAAGGGGGACCGCACAGACTGTAACAACTACAGGGGCATCTCACTCCTCAGTGTGCCGGGAAAGGTCCTGGCAAGGGTTATTCAACATCGCCTTGCCAGGCACGCTGAGGAGAGGCTTGCGGAGCCCCAATGCGGTTTCAGGAAAGGGCGGTCCTGCACAGATGCCATATTTTCTGTCCGTCTGCTAAAGCAGAGGTGTAGGGAATTCCAACAAGACCTACATCTCTGCTTTATTGACCTGGTCAAGGCCTATGATACCATCAGTAGGCCTGGGCTCTGGGTTGTTCTTCGTGCTTTCGGAGTCCCTGACACTCTGCTCACTTGTATAATTCTGTAGAAACTCGTATAATTCCGTAGATTTTTCTGGCAGGAAAGGTGTTGGTGTTCTACATGTCAACATCAGAGGGCTTGTGATTAAATTAAGTCAACTAAAACTAGAAGTGGCAAATCTTGACCCGGACATTTTTTGCCTAACAGAAACATTTCTCACTCCTGCCGTCAATGACTTGCAGATTACGATTGACAACTAAAACCTTTTTCGGCTTGACCGAGGATCTAAAGGAGGTGGAATTGCCATCTATGTTCGTAATACTATTGCATGTTCACCAGCTCACTCCTTGTTTAAAAAATGTTGCTTTGAAGGTTTGGCTCTCAGAATAACTCTTCCAAATAATCAACAGATATTGGTAGTGTTCTGCTATAGACCACCTAGTGGGAAGGATGTTAAAGCTGCATCTGCACTGAGAGAGATTTTTGGGGGCCTCCCTAAAGGTGAAATAGTTTTAGTGGGTGAATTTAACCTGTTTCAATTAATACACGTCCCCACAAGACCCAACCTAAAAAAATCCGGGACAGTCATCTCTGCTTGACGTCCTATTGACAAATGCCCCTCACAATTTCACACTGACTGGTGTTCTGGGTAATAACCTTAGTGATCACTCCTTCATTTTTGGTGTGAGATCATCAGCCAGACCCAAAGCCCCCCCTAAATTGGTTGAGAAGCACTCTATGAGACACTTCAGCACTCAGGCATTTACTAATGATGTGCTTCACTCGGATATTGACAAGGTCTGTGATATCCCCAACCTAAGGCTTGGGAGACCTCCAGGTACACGTTTCTCCAAATTCTTAACAAACATGCTCCGTTGGTTAGATTTAAAACTAAAGGCAACCGCCCACCATGGTTTGATCCTTTGATCACAAATCTCATGAAAACTAGGGACAAGGCTTGGGCATGTGCTCAGAAAAGTAATTTGGTCAATGACTGGCTAGAATACAAAATTTTAAGGAATAGATGCGTCAAAAAAATACGGCATGCAAAAAATGCCTATTTTTCCTCCACTCTCCTGGAATCACGTGGAAATGCCAGGATTTTTTGGAAAACAATCAAATCTATCGAAAAGGCATCCAAAACAGACAATCTGCCCGTTGAGCTTAACCGAAATGGGGAATATTTTTCAGATCCCCCAAAAAATAGTTGACAATTTTAACCTTCATTTGTCTGAAGCTGGTAATCTTTTTGATAATGTATTGGGAGTCACCCCTGCTCATGCAAATTCCTACACCCCTGTCCAAACATTAAACGAATTTAGTTTCCAGCCAATCCACGAAAGTAATGTTCTGAAACAACTGTCCTACCTCAAAGGGTCCTCCTCTACCGGAGCAGATAGTATTCCCGTCTTTGCTCTACTCACTGTTGGTCACCTAATATACAAACTTATAGCCCATATTTTCAACCTGTCCATCAAAGAAGCATCAGTTCTTCTAGCATGGAAACATTCCTATGTCCGTCCACTTCACAAAGGGGGCCCTAAAGATGATCCAAATAACTACCGACCTATCTCAATTTTGTCCCCGTTGATGAAAATTTTTGAAAAATTATTGACCTACCAAATTAGCAGTTTCCTGTCCATCAACAATCTACTACATCTAAAACAATCTGGGTTCCGAAAAAAATACAGCACCACATCTGCTGCATTAGACTCTCTGAATCACATTTACAGTAGCCTTGATAATAAGCAGTACTGTGCCTGTCTTTTTCCAGACCTGTCCAAAGCTTTTGATACAGAAGACCACAACACCCTGCTTAGTAAACTAAGTTGCCTCGGTTTTTCCGAAAATGCAGTAAAATGGTTACAAAATTACCTCTTTTCTCGCACCCAAACTGTATTCACAGATGGTTGGAGGTCAAACAGTGTTAAGATAACAAAAGGGGTTCCACAGGGTTCCATCCTCGGCCCCCTCTTGTTCTCTCTTTACGTCAATGACTTGGGCACTGACCTGGATCATTCCAGGGTAAATCTTTTTGCAGATGACACGATACTGATTACTGCTGGCCGCTCTCCGGATGACGTGATTGCTAAGCTACAGGGTGATTTCAACAAACTACAACATCAGCTAGTTGCTCTTAAACTAGTCCTGAATACCTCCAAAACCAAGGTGCTATGCTTCTCATCAGGACTAAAGCAGGAAGTTATTTTTCCCCAATTACATTCCTTAAATAATTGTCAAATAGAGCAAGTCCAGATCTATAAGTATATTGGGGTCATCCTGGATTCAAAACTGAATTTTGAAGATCACATTGATTAGATTGGTAAAAAGACCAAAATAAAAATTGGTTTTCTGTATCGATATAAGCACTGCTTCCCCCCAATGTTCCGTTTGGAATTGATAAAAGCTACCATACTGCCTCTACTTGACTACTGTGACATCGTGTATAAATCAGCCCCAAGTACTGTACTGAAGCTTGATTCCATCTATCACTCGGCCTTAAGATTTACGTTGAACTGCCCATATAGGACTCACCACTGTGATCTCCACATTGGGTCAAACTTAACATCTCTTAATGTTCGACGGCTTGTGCACCAGATCTTATTTATTCACGATGTACTTACAACAAAAATCCGCAGATTACCTGCTGGATCTCCTCTCTGTTTCAAAGAACAAATTTGACCTCAGGTCTTCGCTCATTTACCAGCTTCACATTCCCTATTGCCGTACAAAAACTGGAGGAAGGGCCTTTGCTATTGATGCCCCCAGAGTCTGGAATGCTATTGCCAATAAACTGCAACTTGAATCTCTACCAATGAGATCTTCTCTCAAAACTGCTCTAGAGGGGTTGCACACCCCTAGCTGCCACTGCTATTCAGTGGCCTAAAATAAAATAAAATGTTTCGCTCCGGATGACGCTGCAAAGTATTATCTGTATTTTGATTTAGCGTGCTGATCTTAAAGGTGCATTGAAAAATTTGATACTCCGACCGATGCTTCTGTTGTTGTGGAGTAACTCATGCAGCCAGCTATGGCTCTAGGGTTTGGTGTTACATGTTATTTATGTAGTTTATTGTAAAAATTCGGTCACAGTCCTTGTGATCACTGTTACGTTGCAATTATGGCTTTATTTTTTGGTGATTTGGAAAAGTTTTTTGGTTTGGACATGTTTGTTTTGTTGTAGTACGGAGTTAGACTGATGGCCTTAATCTAAGTTTTTGTGGTTGTTGTTGTTGTTTGACTTGCATCCCACTGGGATTTTTTGAACACAGCGTTGGTGTACGGTGCTTTTTTCAGGAATATTTTTGCTGTTTTTTTTTCCCATGAATTTTTTGTTTGCACAGTCACACACAGTCACTATAAGATGTTTTTCTTGTTCGTGTTTTTGTTTTTTTGTTTGTTGTGGTTGCACCCGATTCAAGAGCCGGATGGCTCACAGGGCTATACCAAAATAAATAAACTGAACTGATCATTAAGGACCTTCATGATGCTGGGCAGGCCAGGGTAAAACTACGTGGCTGGGAGTCGGAGCCATTCCCTGTTCACCTTGGGGTGTGACAGGGATGTCCTCTGGCTCCCACATTATTTGACATCTATTTCGACCACGTAGTACATGAAGCCTCTGATGGCTGTACCGGAGGAATTTCCATCTGGTACAGATAAATGGGAGGCTGACTGATGCCCGGGTGCAATCAAAGGATGGCTGCCTATTGGTCAACCACGTTATGTATGCCGATGATCTGGTAATTGCTGCTCACTCAGAGGAGGAGTTGGAGGCGCTGCTGCTGAACCTGGAGCTTGCCATCAGCCCCACCAAAACTAAGCACCTGCCTGGGTATGTTGTGCCTTTGGACACTCCACCCCCACAACTCCCAATCGGTGATGGGGCAGTTGTGGAGAGAATGGAGAGTTTCCCATACCTGGGCAGTGTGCTCATGGCCGGCTCCAGTTTGATAACAGCAGTCTCACTCGGAATCAGTCGAGCGGAATTACCTTTTCATCGGCTGCGTAACGCTGTGTGGAAGCTACCTGGTCTGTCGCTTCACACAAAGCTTTGGGTCTTCTCGGCCACAGTCATTCCCTCCCTTCCCTATGCTTGCGAAACGTGGACCCCCCCTAATGGAACATCTTCGCCGGTTAGAAACATTTAGGCTGGCCTGGCTACGATCCATCCTGGGTTTAGCCAGGCTGGATTGTGTGAGGAGCTCACAAATCCTTGAAAGATTTGGACACATTCCTATCATTAAGCTCCTCCGGCAGGCAAGGCTGTGTTGGCTGGGTCACGTAGCCCGCATGCCCAGCCACCGGATGCCTAAACAGCTTTTGTTCGGCCGGATAAAGGGGGCTAAACGGGCGCCGCACGGGCTAGAGAGAGATGGAGTGATGTGGTACAGGAGGACGTGGAGCTGAGTGGACTTGCCGATGACTGCTACCAGCGGTGTCAAGATCGGCCTCTGTGGAGGAGGCTCGTGAAGGATGCTACTGGGCAGTTGGAGGCAGTCGCCCTCCAACAACAACGGAGGGCGGAGGAGCGACGCTCACAACAACGAGCGGAGCGCCGGGTGGCTAAAGCACAGCAGATTGGCACAGTAGGGGGCACAGGTGGTGCATCAGCCAGTCATCTCAGTCAGTCGACCCGTCGCACTGGGTCTGCCCCGTGACCTCCTGCCAGCGGGCGTTCGACACTTCACGTGGCCTCAGGGTGCACATGGCCTGGCACAAGCGTCGTGGTGACGTCACCGCCACTTAGTGGCGAATGGCGGTTGTCGTTGTTGTGTGTGTGAGTGTTACTGTGTGAGTGTATGTGTGCGTGCGTGTGTGTGGTGTGTGTGTGTGTGAGTGTCTGCCTGTGTGAGTGTATGTGTGAGTGTATGTGTGCGTGCGTGTGTGTGGTGTGTGTGTGCGTGTGTGTGTGTGCGTGTGTGTGTGTGCGTGTGTGTGCGTGTGCGTGCGTGTGAGTGTATGTGTGAGTGTATGTGTACGTGCGTGTGCGTGGTGTGTGTGTGTGCGTGTGTGTGCGTGTGTGTGCGTGTGTGAGTGTATGTGCCAGTGTATGTGCGTGTGTGTGCGTGTGGTAAACTTTCCCACTGAGGGAGACAAAGGCGGCCTGGCGTGGTGCTGGCTACCTCACCCCCTCGTGTGACACAGTGCCGGCAGCCTTCATAGGTGCCGCTGGCTCACAGCACTTGCCCCTACAGCCTGTTACAGGCTACATGGGGGATCTTTGCCTTTGGTGGTGGCGTCCCTTTGCTGAGTATCTGTCTCTCTGTGTCTCTCTCTCTGTGTGTCTGTGTGTGTCTGTGTGTCTCTGCGTGTCTCTCTCTCTGTCTCTCTGTGTCTCTGTCTGTCGTTCTCTCTGTGTGTCTCTCACTGTGTGTCTCTCTGTGTGTGTCTCTCTGTGTCTCTGTCTGTGTGTCTCTCTGTGTCTTTCACTGTGTCTCTCACTGTGTCTCTCTCTGTGTTTCTCTCTGATTCTCTCTCTGTGTCTCTGTGTGTCTCTCTGTGTCTCTGTGTGTCTCTCTCTGTGTCTCTGTCTGTGTGTCTCTCTGTGTGTCTCTCTGTGTCTCTCACTGTGTCTCTCACTGTGTCTCTCTCTGTGTCTCTTTGTGTCTCTGTCTGTGTGTCTCTCTGTGTGTCTCTCTGTGTCTCTCACTGTGTCTCTCACTGTGTCTCTCTCTGTGTCTCTCTCTGTGTCTCTCTCTGTGTGTCTCTCTGTGTCTCACTGTGTCTCTTTCTCTGTGTCTGTCTGTGTCTCTCTGTGTGTCTCTCTCTCTGTGTGTCTCTAGTTTCTGTGTGTCTCTCTGTGTCTCTCTGTATGTCTCTGTGTCTCACTGTGTGTCTCTCTGTGTCTCTCTCTGTGTGTCCCTGTGTCTCTCTGTGTGTCTCTCTGTGTTTCTCTCTGTGTGTCCCTATGTCTCTCACTGTCTGTCTCTCTGTGTATCTCTGCGTCTCTCTGTGTCCCTCCCAGTGTCTCTCTGTGTCTCTGTGTGTCCCTGTGTCTCTCTCTGTGTGTGTGTGTCTCTCACCGTCTCTCCCCGTGTCCCCGTGTCCCGTGCGTGTCTCCCTCTGTCCCGTCACCCACCTGTCGTTCCGTCACCTCACGCCCATCCGCTCACCACGTGAGCAAGTCCCAAGTTCACCACCTCCTCCTGCTCCTCCACCACCACCGCCACCACCGCCACCACCGCCACCACCGCCACCACCGCCACCACCGCCACCACCGCCACCACCACCACCACCACCAGAGGCTGCGGCTTCCAGGCGCGGCGAGGATCTGGGGACAGTTGCCAAGTGGCCGGGTGACAACAACAACAACAGCAGCAGAAGTGATTTGTGGAGCTGAGCCCGGAGCAACAACGAAGCTTTTATAAAGTGCAGTAGCGGTGGTGGGTGGGGTGTGGGTGGGGTGTGGGTGGGGTGTGGGTGGGTTTGGGTGTGGGTGGGGTGTGGGTGTGTGTGTGTGTGTGTGGTGGTGTGTGGGTGTGTGTGTGTGGGTGTGTGTGTGGGTTTGGGTGTAGGTGGGGTGTGGGTGGGTGTGTGTGTGGGTGTGAGTGTGTCTGGGTGGGGTGTGGGTGTGTGTGTGGGTTTGGGTGTGTGTATGTGGGTGGGTGTGTGTGTGTGTGGGTGTGTGGGTGGTGGTGTGTGTATGTGGGTGGGTGTGGGTGGGTGTGTGGGTGGGTAGTTGTGGGTGGGGAGTGGTGGTGCAGCGGCCATCGGGGTGCGATGCTACGAACCCCGGCGACCCGAGTTCGATTCCCGTTCACCGCGCTCCGTGTGTCACTGTGTGTGTCACTGTGTGTGTGTCACTGTGTGTGTCACTGTGTGTGTGTTCACTGTGTGTGTGTGTCACTGTGTGTGTGTGTGTCACTGTGTGTGTGTCACTGTGTGTGTCACTGTGTGTGTCACTGTGTGTGTGTTCACTGTGTGTGTGTGTCACTGTGTGTGTGTGTGTGTCACTGTGTGTGTGTGTGTCACTGTGTGTGTGTCACTGTGTGTGTCACTGTGTGTGTCACTGTGTGTGTGGTCACTGTGTGTGTGTGTGTCACTGTGTGTGTGTCACTGTGTGTGTGTCACTGTGTGTGTCACTGTGTGTGTCACTGTGTGTGGGTCACTGTGTGTGTGGTCACTGTGTGTGTGTGTCACTGTGTGTGTGTCACTGTGTGTGTGTCACTGTGTGTGTCACTGTGTGTGTCACTGTGTGTGTGTCACTGTGTGTGTGGTCACTGTGTGTGTGTGTCACTGTGTGTGTGTCACTGTGTGTGTGTCACTGTGTGTGTCACTGTGTGTGTGTCACTGTGTGTTTGTCACTGTGTGTTTGCCACTGTGTGTGTGTCACTGTGTGTGTGTCACTGTGTGTGTGTCACTGTGTGTGTCACTGTGTGTTTGTCACTGTGTGTGTCACTGTGTGTGTGTCACTGTGTGTCACTGTGTGTTTGTCACTGTGTGTGTCACTGTGTGTGTGTCACTGTGTGTCACTGTGTGTGTCACTGTGTGTGTGTCACTGTGTGTGTTACTGTGTGTGTCACTGTGTGTGTGTCACTGTGTGTGTCACTGTGTGTGTCACTGTGTGTTTGTCACTGTGTGTGTGTCACTGTGTGTGTGTCACTGTGTGTGTCACTGTGTGTTTGTCACTGTGTGTTTGCCACTGTGTGTGTGTCACTTTGTGTTGTGGGGAGCGATAGTGTAGCGGTTATCGCGCTGCGCTATGAACCTGGCGACCCGGGTTCGATTCCCGCTCACGGCCAACACCAGTGACGATTATCTGAACCGGTCCCGGGCCTCCCCTAGGTCGACTCAGCCTCAAATGAGTACCTGGTGCGGTGTGTAAACATCGCCACTAGGGAGACAAAGGCGGTCGGGCGTGGTGCTGGCCACCCACCCCCTCGTGTACCGTTCCGGCCTTCATAGGTGCTCGCTAACAGCACTTGCCCCTACAGTCTGTTAAGGCTATACGGGGGATCTTTCTGTGTCACTGTGTGTGTGTGTCACTGTGTGTGTGTGTCACTGTGTGTGTGTCACTCTGTGCGTGTGTGTCACTGTGTGTGTGTCACTGTGTGTGTGTCACTGTGTGTGTGTCACTGTGTGTGTGTCACTGTGTGTGTGTTCACTGTGAGTGTCACTGTGTGAGTGTCACTGTGTGTGTGTCACTGTGTGAGTGTCACTGTGTGAGTGTCACTGTGTGTGTGTCACTGTGTGTGTGTCACTGTGTGTGTGTCACTGTGTGTGTCACTGTGTGTGTGTCACTGTGTGTGTGTCACTGTGTGTGTCACTGTGTGTGTGTCACTGTGTGTGTGTCACTGTGTGTGTCACTGTGTGCGTGTCACTGTGTGTGTCACTGTGTGCGTGTCACTGTGTGTGTCACTGTGTGTGTGTCACTGTGTGTGTGTCACTGTGTGTGTCACTGTGTGTGTGTGTCACTGTGTGTGTCACTGTGTGTGTGTGTCACTGTGTGTGTGTGTCACTGTGTGTGTCAATGTGTGTGTGTCAATGTGTGTGTGTCACTGTGTGTGTGTGTGTGTCACTGTGTGTGTGTCACTGTGTGTGTGTCACTGTGTGTGTGTCACTGTGTGTGTCAATGTGTGTGTGTCACTGTGTGTGTGTCACTGTGAGTGTCACTGTGTGTGTGTCACTGTGTGTGTGTCACTGTGTGTGTGTCACTGTGTGTGTCACTGTGTGTGTGTCACTGTGTGTGTGTCACTGTGTGTGTCACTGTGTGTGTGTCACTGTGTGTGTGTCACTGTGTGTGTGTGTCACTGTGTGTCACTGTGTGTGTGTCACTGTGTGTGTGTTCACTGTGTGTGTGTCACTGTGTGTGTGTCACTGTGTGTCACTGTGTGTGTGTCACTGTGTGTCACTGTGTGTGTGTCACTGTGTGTCACTGTGTGTGTGTCACTGTGTGTGTCACTGTGTGTGTCACTGTGTGTCACTGGGTGTGTCACTGTGTGTCCCTGTGTGTGTGTCACTGTGTGTGTCACTATGTGTGTGTGTGTCACTGCGTGTGTCACTGTGTGTGTGTCACTGTGTGTGTCACTGTGTGTGTGTCACTGTGTGTGTCACTGTGTGTGTGTGTCACTGTGTGTGTCATTGTGTGTGTGTGTCACTGTGTGTGTCACTACGTGTGTCACTGTGTGTGTGTCACTGTGTGTGTCACTGTGTGTGTCACTGTGTGTGTGTGTCACTGTGTGTGCCACTGTGCGTGAGTCACTGTGTGTGTCACTGTGTGTGTGTCACTGTGTGTGTGTCAAGTGTGTCACTGTGTGTCTCACTGTGTGTGTGTGTGTCACTGTGTGTCACTGTGTGTGTGTCACTGTGTTGTGGGGAGCGGTAGTGTAGCGGTTAGCGCGCTGCGCTATGAACCTGGCGACCCGGGTTCGATTCCCGCTCACGGCCAACACCAGTGACGATTATCTGAACCGGTCCCGGGCCTCCCCTAGGTCGACTCAGCCTAAAATGAGTACCTGGTGCGGTGTGTAAACATTGCCGCTAGGGAGACAAAGGCGGTCGGGCGTGGTGCTGGCCACCCACCCCCTCGTGTACCGTTCCGGCCTTCATAGGTGCTCGCTAACAGCACTTGCCCCTACAGTCTGTTAAGGCTATACGGGGGATCTTTCTGTGTCACTGTGTGTGTGTGTCACTGTGTGTGTGTCACTGTGTGTGTGTCACTGTGTGCGTGTGTGTCACTGTGTGTGTGTCACTGTGTGTGTGTCACTGTGTGTGTGTTCACTGTGTGTGTGTCACTGTGAGTGTCACTGTGAGTGTCACTGTGTGTGTTTGTCTTTGTCACTGTGTGTGTCACTGCGTGTGTGTTCACTGTGTGTGTGTCACTGTGTGTGTCACTGTGTGTGTGTGTGTCACTGTGTGTGTCACTGTGTGTGTGTCACTGTGTGTGTGTGTCACTGTGTGTGCCACTGTGCGTGTGTCACTGTGTGTGTCACTGTGTGTGTGTCACTGTGTGTGTGTCACTGTGTGTGTGTCACTGTGTGTGTGTCACTGTGTGTGTGTGTGTCACTGTGTGCGTGTCACTGTTGTGGTGATGGCGATGGGGGCTGTGGTGGTGGTTGTGGTGTTCGTGGTGGCGGTGGCGACGGTGGTGGTGGCTGTGATAGGTGGTGGTTGTGGTGGCTGTGATGGTGGTGGCAGCGGCTGTGGTGGTTGTGGTGATGGTGGTGGTGGCAGTGTTGGTGGAGGCAGTGATAAGAGGGGTTTTGTGATCACGCTACAACGCTGACCTTTCCCCTCCATCCGCGATGCCAGGTCAGACTCACACAG